GCAGAAAGCCTCATCTTTCTCCCATGGAAAGGCTGGTGATTTTGAACTGATGAGCTTGAGGTTAGCAGCCCGACTCGTAACCACTACACTACTAGAACTCCTTGAAGATATTGGTAGAATTCTTCAATTTCATCATCACTGACTTTAGTGGTTGGTGCATACATCTGAATAATAGTGGTATTAATTGGTCTTCCTTGAAGGTGTATAGATATTATCCTATCACAGACAGCATTATACTTCAATATAGATCTTGAAATGTTCTCTTTGATGATAAATACCACATCATTCCTCTTCATTCGTCATTTGCATCGTTGTAAACCATGAGATTGTCACATTCTAAATGGCCAATACCAGTCCATTTCAGCTCACGAATGCCTGGGATAGCAATGTTTGTGCATTGCATTTCATTTTTGACAACTTTCCAATTTCCTAGAGTAATACTTTGTACATTCCATGTTCTAATTATTCATGGATGTTTGCAGCTGCTTCTGTTCATTCCGAGTTGTGCCTTCTCAGCAAATGAAGCTTCAGAAAATTTTCCTCCTCTTGTTCAATCACAGTCAAGTCTGCTTTGAAGAGGCAGTTCTTTCCCAACCGGGTTTTGAGTGCTTTCCAACCTCAGAGGCTGACCTGCCGGCCCTCTAGCTGATAGTGTTTTGGTGTTCATCATGCTTCAATAGTTGACTTTCTGGTGCTTCCTAAGAGTGTTTCCCTGCTGTTCATAAGGTTGTCAGCGGCTAAACATTCAGATGTAGGCTGCCTCTCCTGCTTCAAGTCTTCTTAGTCCGGAAGCTCAGCTGAGACCTGTCCACTACTGGCTATCCTGTCAGCATAGCTCAGTGTGGAGGAGGCATTAAGTGTGGAATTGTTGTTTTGCTTTTGTTAAATGCCATTGAATTGGTTCTGACTCATGTTGTTATTGTTGTTAGATGCCATCAAATCGGTACCAACTCACAGCAACCCTATGTACAACAGAACAAAACACTGCCTGGTCCTGGGCTAACCTTACTATTGTCGCCACGCTTGAGCCCACTGATGCTGTCACTTTGTAAATCTATCTTGCTAGGGGTCTTCCTCTTTTTCTCTGACCCTCTGCCTTACCAAACATGATATCCCTCTCCAGTGACTGGTCCCTCCTGACAATATGTCTGAAGTATGAGAGATGAAGTCTGGCCATCCTGGCCTCCAACAAGCAGTCTGGCTGCACTTCTTCTAACACAGCTCTGTTTGTTCTTTTGGCAGCCCATGGCACTTTCAGTATTCTCCTCCAACACCACAACTCAAATGCATCAATTCTTCTACGGTCTTCCTTATTCACTGCCCAACTTTTGCATGCATATGTGATTATTGAAAATACCATGGCTTGGGTCAGGCGTACCTTAGTCCTCAAGCTGATATCTTTACTCTTCCACATTTTAAAAAGGTCTTGTGCAGCAGATTTGCCTAATGCTATACATCCTTTGATTTCTTGACTGCTGCTTCTGTGAGTGTTGATAGTTGATCCAAGAAAAAGGAAATCTTTGACAACTTCAATCTTTTCTCCATTGGTAAGAATGTTGTTTTTTGGACAAGTGGTGAGGATTTTTGTTTTCTTTATATTGAGATGCAATCCATTCTGAAGGCTATGGTATTTGATCTTCATCAGTGAGTATTTTAAGTCCTCTTCACTTTCAGCAAGCAAGGTTGTATCATCTGCATATCGCAGGTTGTTAATGAGTCTTCCTCCAATCCTGATGCCACATTTTTCTTCATAGAACCCAGCTTCTTGGATTATTTGCTCAGCATACAGGTTGAATAAGTATGGTAAAAGAATACAACCCTGTCGCACACCTTTTCATAATTTTAAACCATTCAGTGTTCCGTGTTTTGTTCAAACAACTGCCTGTTGGTGTATGTACAGGGTCCTCATGAGCACAATTAAGTATTCTGGAATACTCATATTTGCAATTTTGTCCATAGCTTGTCATGATCCACACAATTGAAAACCTTTGCATAGTCAATAAAGCACAGGTAAGCATCTTTCTGACATTCTCTGCTTTCAGCCAAGATCCATCTGACATCAGCAATGATATCCCTTTTTCCTCATGTTGTTGTTGTTGTTGTTATGTGCCATGGAGTCCGACTCATAGCGACCGTGTACAGGGTTTCCGAGGCTGTAAATCTTTATAGGAGCAGAAAGCCTCATCTTTCTCCCATGAAACAGCTGGTAGTTTCGAACTGCTGAACTTGCGGTTCACAGCCTGATTATTAACCACTACGCTACCTTCATAGAGACCTTTATAGGGCCTCTGAAGAAGGGATGGTGGGTTTGAACTGCTGACTTTATGATTCAAACTGACCTTGAGGTCCAGTGCTTTGTCTTGTAGCAGCATACCAGGACTACACCACCCTTGAACCACCACACCCTGATCCAATTGACAGGAGATTTCCCAAGGGTGTGGCATGCAACATCTTTTATCTTACAAGATATCTTAAAAGGCAGAGAACACGGGGCCTACTCCCACCAAGATAGCAGAGCCAGGAGTGGAGTGTACTGTTTTGAACCTGGGGCCCCTGCTTTGTGAAGCTCCTAGACTCAGGGGAAGATTGATGCCAAGATGTATGGCGATCTTTCAGGGATACTTAATACAAGCCTCCAGATCCTGAAAGGAATCAAACACCTTTATCCAGATCCGGCAGACAGTGCGAGTCTTCTCCAGGAGCTACCGCTCTCAATCTGGGCCTTTAGTGTAAGGGGAGTCATTTCTGGTTGTTAAAGCTGTCTACTTGTGGTATTTCTGTTGTAGCATCATTAGATAACAAGACAGTATCATTGTCATTTTGTAATGTGTGGTAATAATTTCACATGTGGAAGGTCTGGATTATTCCACAGATAGCATTTCCAATGAAGAAATTAGGGAGAGTAGTTTCTAGGTCCTTTTCTCTTTTCTTTATGTGTTTTGCAATAGTATCTCACTCCTTCCTGAATATTTCTGTGAAGTTTAGCTAAGTGATCAGCACTGGTTTAATGTTTTTAAACAACTGAAGTCCCTGATTTCGTTTAGAAAGAACTCCAGCTAATCTTTTTACTATAAAAAATCTGACGATTTCTCTCCTTCTTTTTTCTCATTATTTCTTTACTCTTCCAAATCCAGGAAGTTCTCATCTTCATCTCCCCATTTTTTGTGACCTACAAACAGCTCCACAACAGTGATAATTTCTCAGTTTAACGCTGTTGCCAGATGGACAAGTCCTCCACGAGGTTCTTCTATTGGATCATCTCCAACAAACGCTTGAGTTCCACCCTTTCCAAAGTCCATGTATGCATTCTCCTGTAACTTTCTCACAGAGTGATGCCATGTTCGAAATATGCTGATGGTCATGTGCAAATCTGTTGCATATCTCAAGTATTTTCAATCACCTCATATGCATGTGAAAGTCGGACAATGAATAAGGAAAACCATGGAAGAATTGATTCATTTGAATTATGGATTTGGAGAAGAATTCTGAAAATACCACGGACTACCAGAAAACCAAAAAATCCATGTTGGAAGAAGTACGACAAGAATGGTCTTTAGAAGCTAGGATGACTTGACTTGTCTCTCATATGCGCGATAATTTGCCTGAAGAGATCAATCCTTAGAGAAGGACATCATGCTTAGTAAAGTGGAGGGTCAGTGAAGATGAGGGTGACCCACAATTAGGTGGATTGGGACAATAGCAGCAACAAAGGGCTCAAACATAACAACAATTGTGAGGCTGAGTCAGGACTGGGCAGTGTTTCATTCTGGTGTGCATAGGGTAGCGTGAATCAGAACCAATTCGGCAGCGCCTGAAACAGCTACCAACGTAACAATGTCTGCGTGTACAACGCAGCATCCTTGGTCACATTCTCCTAGTTGTGTATTCATACTCTATATGCTTTTCAAAATCATCCCACCAAACCAATGCCCCTACCCCACCCATCCTGGGGATTCTGACTCATCGTGACCCTACACAGGGTTTCTGAGACTAAATCTTTATGTGACCAGAAAGTCTCTTTTTTTTCTCTTGTAGCATATAGTGTGTTTGAACTGCCAGCCTGTGGTGGTCCAATAAATATATAGCCCACAGCTCCGGGAGGGCTCCTCCTAAACATCATGAAATCTTTTTGGCATCTGGATCCTTCCTATGAAATATTTTTAGACAGTAAAGTAATTCTTACTTCAGCACATAAAATGACACATTGTAGATGGTTAATCTAAAACTCTCCCATTTCTATGAGGCAAACCCCATTATTATGATGGCAAACCAATGGTTATCTGTCTTTAGAAACTCAATGTACCCTGAAAACCACACAGGTGGCTTGCAGAATGTCTGAGGAAAATTCCCTGCCCAGCGGGACAGGAGCACATCTGTGATAATCTGATCTACATAATCCCATCACACTGTTCTAACCATCTCCAGGCCTCCCACGATTTGATCAAAGCTTTTATTTGGTGTTTACATCCCTCTGCAAGGGGCTCAGTAGGATAAGCACTTGACTAACCAAGGTCAGCGGGTAAACCTACCAGCAGATGCGTGGTAGAAAGATTAGACTTTCTGCTCCCGTAAAGATTTACAGTCTCAGAGTTGGCGTTGACTCATGGTGCGCTGTAGGATAAGCACTGGACTGCTAACCACAAGGTTGGTGGTTCTAACCCACACGCCTCTCCTTGGAAACCCTATAGGGTCCCTATGAGTCAAAACCGATTCGATGGCCTTAACAAGTGTGTTTGGGTTTCCCTCTGCATGTATATTTGACCACATCTGCATACAGTCATCTGTATGCAGATACAATCAACTGTCATTGGTTGTTGGCCTCCCTGAATGCACAGCTCAGTCCTGCGAACCTCTGAAGAGAGGAAGGAACCTTTTCAGTCAATAGGAGGAAGCCACGCCCACCAGAGGCCTATAAAAGGCAGGTCCCTCACTCTCTCCAGACTTCGTCCTGATTCTGCATTTTAACAGCTTGGACGTTTCCCTGGACCTTCAACCTAGAGATGGAAACCCAAGACCTGGACACCCACGCTCTCTCCACGGAGCTTCCAGGTGACCATCCTTCCTGCCAGCCTAACTCCTTTGAAGAAAAGGTCTCAGATGTGGAAGAGAAAGAGCTTGAAGGAAAACCCCAAACACTTTCTCCCCAGACAACGGAGAGTGGAGCTCCGAGGAGAGGTAGGCACTTGGGCTGTGAGCGAGGAGGCAGGGGCAGGGGTGGAACCGCGATATCGGGTCACATCTTGGGTGGGCTTTTTTGGCGGGGAACCGCTGTCCTGAGATTTGGTCCAGCAGGGTGAGTGCCGAGTGCAGAGCAGGACTGAAATCCATGTAGTTGGCGGCTTTTGGGAGTGCATTGTCGCACCATGTTCTAGAGGCGTGAACTGGATTTGGGTTTGCAGGCAAGCCCTGATCTCTTCGTGCCCACAGGAACTTTCATTTTAAGGGGAAAAAAGAAAACAAGTCCACTGCCATTGAGTCACCTCCCATTCACGGTGACCTTTTATCAGCCCAGCGTCGGACCCTAAGTGACCCCCCTCGTGATTTTGGTGAAGGGGTTATTTTGAAGAAGGGCTTAGTTAGAAAATGGCTTCTAGTCCTCAGGGGAGTTTAAGGACCTAGATGCACATTCCTGCGGCATCCGAATTACCTAAAATATGGGTGAGGGCTGGAAGACGGGGTTCTGTGAGCCACCATAACCCCTGTTTGTCTCCCGTATCAGCAGAGCCCAAGAGAGCTGGCAAGTCCCAGGAAAGGAGGCCGAGAGCTCGGAGCAGGAACGGCAGCAGCTCGAGCCCAGGTACAGGTACGAGGACGTCCGGGGGACCCGGCCTGCCTGCCCCCTCCGGGCCGGCGGCATCAGGGGGTTCAGTGGAAGCCAGACCTTTACAGGTCCCTGTATGTCTGGGATGGACTAGGGTTAGTGGTGTGTGCAGGCATCTTGTTGTTGTGAAGTGCCGTCGAGTCGATTCCCACCCATAGCGACCTTGTATAGGGTTTCTGACGAGCGGCCGGTGAACTTGAACCGCCCACCTTGCAAGTTCAAACGGCTTTGCAGTCTGGCGCTTTAACCCACAGCGCCACACCTGGGAACCCCGAATTCTCAGTGTCTCCACAGACAGGGTCAGATGGAAGAACTACAGGGGCTGGAAAATCAGTTCCAGGGGGACCGAGGGGACAGGCAGGCAGGCAGGAAGCCCAGGTGGGCGCACGAGGGGTGTGTGTGTGTGTGTGTGTGTGTGTGTGTGAGGAGGGGCGCTGAGGAGGACGGGCTCCTTGGGCTCTGGGCCAGCTGACCTCTCACCCCCTCGCTTCCTTCTCAGGATTATCTCTGGTGACCTCGGGAAAGAGGGACGACACGGACCCCGACTCTGTTGAGGAGACCCCGGCTGCCCGCCGCAGAGGCCGCTCCAGGGCTCGCCGTGTGCACCGCAAGCGGCCCCGAGCCTGGTCCCCAGGAGACCAGCCACCGCCACTTCGGAGAAGCCTGGTGACCACCCTGCGGACTCTGTCCGAGGCCATCTACCAGGATATGGTCCAGGTGCGGGCCCAGCAGGCACAGGCCCCGCTGACCTGGGAGCAGCTCTTGTGGCTGTCCCAGCTCCGGGGGTCTCTTCACGCCACCATCCAGACCTTCTACACCCTGGCCAACCAGGCGGCCTACGTCTTTCCTGCTGAGAGCTGGCTGACCCCGACCCCACTGCCCGTCCCCAGGGACCCAGCCCGGCACAGAGAAGAAGCCCAGGAGGAATCCTAGGAGGGACAGAAAGTCCACTCCTTCTCAGGACAGGAAACAGCTGAGGCGGCCAGTGGGCGGGCGAACTGGGATTGAACTTGGGGCCCCTCTGAGCCTGTTCATTAGGAGATGCAGCGTTTGGAGTGAGCAAGGGTGAAAACAAAGACGTGGTGTTTCTCAAATTCCTTCAGATGATCTGCAGGGATAATTACAGACAGACTGGGCTTAGTATGTTCTTGGAAAACCCAAAAGCAACGTGACTTGTCTTAGTGTGGGTTCTGACCTTAGTGTGACCACAGGCCATGGACCTTTCAGAAGATCACTAGATCATTCTCTGGAGGAATTGTGGGTGGACTTGAAATGCCAACTGTTACGTTAGCAGTCCAGCCCTTAGCCATTGGCCCTGCTCATAGGAAAGGACTTTGGAAATGACTCTTGCATTGCCGAATTATGGGTCTCCATGATTGTTTCATCTCTGGTTACACCTTGATATCTTTAGACTGTGGTAGGGTAGACTTGTATTTTTTTAAAATTATGTACCTTAGATTGCTTATATTAATAGACAAGACACTTATTGTTTTTCTTTATATTTTTAACCCTTAAGTGTGCAACCTCAGACTGTAGTTTTGTTTTGCTCAATAAATTTTTTTAACTTTAAATTTTGATTTTTTTCTTTAATGTACAATATCAAATGATTCTTCAGGTTTTTTGGGAAGTCTTTTAGATCCTTCCATTTCAACAATGTCTCCATGTGCAATTCGGGGACACTGATTACATCCTTGAGTGTCCAGCCACTCCTGCCCTCCTTCCATTATCAACTCACTGCCACCTAAGATTCTGACTTGTCAAGTTGTTGATGTTAAGTGTCGTCGGATTGGTGCTGACTGTATAGGGTTTCTGAGGAGGGCCTGTTGGGTTTGAACCTTCAACCCTGTGGTACAGACAGGTCCAGTGCATTATCCTATACACCCCAGGACCCCAGGATGTTGTTGGTAGATGCTGGCTAGCCAGAGCTTCCTGTGCTGTGCTGTATCAGTTTGTTAAAACACTTGCATTTGTATTCTGTCAATTGCTGCCAATTTCCTCAGGGCAAGTTGGACGTCTTAATCATACACAACCTATAAAAATGGCTGGGCATTGCTCAGTTCTTTGTGGTTCAATGACTCTGCATTCCTTCCATGTTTTTTTTTTTTTTTACAAGATTTTTCTTTAATTACGATGGCAGTATAATCTGCCTACAGGTGTAAGTGGGACAACCACAACATAAGGGCTAAATCCTGGAAATAGCCCATGGATCAGGAAGATCAATTCTGCTACAAAAGTGCAAAACTACCTTCTTCATTCTCCAGTGTCATGTTTTGTAAAAATGGATGTTTCATCAGATGTTCCTAGGAAACCCCATACAGGGTTGCTATGGGTCAGAACTGACTCGACGGCATTTAACAACATACAGAATTTGGTGGTGGTGACGGTTGTGTGCCACCGAGTTGGTTCCAACCCATAGTAACCCTGTATGTTGTTGTGTTGTGAAGTGCCGTCGAGTCCGTTCCGACTCATAGCGACCCTGTATAGGGTTTCCGAGGAGTAGCTGGTGAGCTTGAACTGCCGACCTTGCAGTTCAAATGGCTTTGCAGTCTGGCGCATTAACCCACAGCACCACACCAGGACCCACTGTATAGGGTTTCCAAATCTGCAAATCTTTTTTTTTTTTTTTTTAAGTTTTTATTGTGAATTGAGTGATAGTTTACAAGGGAGAACATCAGTTTAACACACATTGTTTCATTGCAATGATTACAATCTCCTCTGTGTCCTTCCATGTTCTTTTGATATTTCCAGCGTCATTCAATATTTTGCCCAGAGTCTTCCATATTGCCACATCAGGCTTGAACTTGTTCTTCAGTTCTTTCAGCTGGTGTATTGTCTTCTAGAGTGGCCCTTAGAAATTTTCTCTTCAACTCTTTTACTTTCTCACTTTTTTCTTCCCTTTGGCTTCTTCACTTTCAAGAACGGTCTCTTCTGGTATCTATTATGTCATATCACAACTCCACTTGTCTTTGGTCATTAGTGTTGTTGTTGTCATTAAGTGCCATCGAGTTGGTACTGACTCATAGCAACCTTATGCACAACAGAACAAAACACTGCCCAGTCCTGAGCCAACCTCATAATTGTTGGCACGCTTGAGTCCATTGACGCTGCCACTTGGCCAATCCATCTCGCTGGGCATCTTCCTCTTTTTCTCTGACCCTCAACCTTACCAAACATGATGTCTTTCTCCAGTTAACTGGTCCCTCCTGACAATACGTCTGAATTATGAGAGACGAAGTTTGCCCATCTTGGCCTCTACGGAGCACTCTGCATTTCTTCCAACACAGATCTGTTGGTTCTTCTGGCAGCCCAGGGTACTTTCAGTGTTCTCCTCCAACACCATAACTCAAAAGCATCAATTCTTCTACGGTCTTTCTTATCCACTGTCCACCTTTTCATGTATAAGAGGTTATTGAAAATACCATGGCTTGGGTCAATGCACACCTTAGTCCTCAAGCTGACATCTTTGCTCTTCAACACTTTAAAGAGGTCTTGTGCATATTTCCCCAATGCAATACATCATTTGATTTCTTGACTGCTGCTTCCATGAGTGCTGATGGTTAATCCAAGAAAAATGAAGTCTTTGACAACTTCAA